AAAACTCACAAAATAATACAAGATTTCTCACGTATCATGTTTTATAAAGTGCACTACTCAGAATTGTATTGAATTAATCTGTTTATCCGACCAATTACCCAATTTACCCTAAATCCTGTAAATTGTTTGTGATCTATTATAAAATATATTTCATAAGTTAATATTTTTTATCGCTGTTTTCGACTAAATATAACAATTTATTTAAATAAAATTATATTAAAAAATATATTTTTTATATAGTTTGGTTGTTGTGTTTTTCGTCTTTTTTAATTGTAAAGTCTAAACCAAATTAACCAAAATTTTAATATAAATACATATTTGATATACAATATACAATTAGAACGGAATAAGTTAGTTAGTTCTATTTCGGTTGCTATATGGTGCAGTCCGACAGTCATTGATGTGCAATGTGTCGGTTATTAAACTACTGCGATTCTTCGCACACTCATATCGCATGTATATTTGATGTGAATATACACAATACATTATAAATTTATTTATCATTAACATATATTAATTAAATGTTCTATATATTACATATTTAGCACATGTGTCATATTTAAATATACTCAAATTTAATCAAATTACAATCAGCCCCTTGGAATTATCTAATTTCCCCAATCATGTCCTAATTCTCAAATTAGTCTTCGTCATCCCCAACACTCCATCGGCGCCGTCCAGCCGTCTCCGACCGACATCTGACGTCGACGTGTTCAACCCATTCTCTTCATTTGTCATTAGTCATGTTGTGATATTAAAATTTTATTGCAAATATGGAAGCTGGGGTTAATAAAAATCTTATTTCTCTAGCCTTTCATCAATGGAATAAAAAAGGGAAGAGAATTGACGGATGGAAAAGCCAATTAGAAATCTTGAAACTATTCTAATTTATATATTTAATAAGAATAAGCATTTACTAAAAATAGTGAGAATTTAATGCATACTTTTTTTTTGGAAACTTTTTAAATATATGAATTAATTACTTTCTTATACATATTTTCAAATAATATCAAATCATATATCATCAAAAATATTGTTTCTTTAAATAATTTTATAAGTTCTTGCAATAATTCCATTGATATCTATTACTATAAATTACAAGATTGTTTTTCGTGATTCATGTTAATAATATTTTGGTTAAGATAAATATTACAACATATAATTTAAATTCTAACCATAATATTAATTTTTTTTTTTACAAATATTCATTTTTTATGCAAAAATATTTATAGAAAATCGTAACAAAGGTAAAAAAATTTCTTCCAATTAATCAGGCGAAATCAAGTTAGTGAATTAATTTTTACCAATATAATTTTTTCTTAAGCTTTATTTCGTTATAGTAAGAAATAAATAATTCTTCAAATTGATATAATTTACTATTTAAGAGATAATGACCAGATACATTAAATAGTTTTACTCATGGTCAAAAGTTAAAAATTAAAATATATTAACTGTTCTTTAGAATTTATTTGTATATTATTCACAACCGCGATTATTTTTTTTTATCATTTTTTTATTTTGATTTCTTTCCATAATGAAATTCTTGTAAAATATATTTTCATTGCAAAGTATGCTAAATAAACTATAAATTCTAAATCGACCTTTTTTTATTATTTTTTTGGACATTACACCAATCACAAACATCCACCAACACACATAAGTGGGACCCACTCCTCAAAAGTCAAAACCCACGCCCCTTCGATTTCCTTGCAGGCACACATCTCTCTCTCTCTCTCTCTCTCTCTCTCTCTCTCCTGAATGTTTCCTCCATGTCTCCCAAAGCCCCGTACTTCCATCTCCACCAACCCCTCATCGCCGCAATCCGCCGTCTCCAACACCACCATCTGCCACATCGCCGATCGAAACCATACATCTGGCGCCGCGTGTGGCAGCCGTGCAAGTCAGATATTGCTGCAAATCCGAAATCCGCCCAGCTCGCCGCGTCCCTCTGCTGCAGCCACCTCGACGAGCCCGCCGAGGCGTCTGCGCATCGTACTTACGCGACGCCTCTCGATCTCGCCGTCACCTGCAAATGATCCATTCAGAAAATGGGTTGTGAACACGAAATTCAAAGCCAAAATAGATGAACATGAAATTCGGTCACGGCGGGGCGGATTGTTTTGTAGTATTTTGTGGGTAGTTGGTAATCGAGCTGCCCGACCTCGAGTCGTTCTCAAAGGAAGACAGGCCTACAACCTCACATAATTGCTCATTACCAAGGTAAACTTTACCAATGTTTCTAGGAACGTAATTTTCGAATAGTTCCTTCTGTGAGGTGGCATGAAAAGATGCTCCCGGGTCTAACACCCAAGACTCCTCTTTGTTCTCCAAAGAACATATCAGCATATCTCCTCCTGAGAATGAAGCAACATTTGCCTCTTCTTTTGCCTCCTGGTTCTTTGGTGCACTCCTGCACTGGTTTTTGTAGTGCCCGATCTTCCCACAATTCCAGCACTCGATTGACTTCGAGTTTTGGGAATTACAATGATTTCTGGACTTGGATCTTCTTCCCTTTGATTTGTTGTGCCTGCTTTCTTTGGTTGAGCTTCTTCCTCTTGACTCTGTATGCAATACAGAAGAGGTCGATGGTTCACCCGACTCCCTTTGTCGGATCTCTTCACTGAGAACCAAATTTTGGACATCATCAAATCTCAACTTATTGCTTCCCAATGAGCTACTCACAGCCGTGACCGTAGCATTCCAACTTTCTGGTAGGGAAGACAAAAGTATTAAAGTCCGTACTTCATCATCGAACTCGATCCCAACTGAAATCAACTGGGTTGTAACGGTGTTGAGCTCATTGAGGTGATGTGCCACTGGGGCACTTTCAGTCATCCGTAGATTGAACAGTCGCCTCATCAAATGAACTTTATTTGAAGCTGATGGTTTCTCGTACATGTTGGAAAGAGCCTTCATGAGGTCTGCTGTCGTCTTTTCTTTTGCAATGTTGAAAGCAACATTACGGGACAACGTCAGTCGAATGGCTCCACGAGCTTGTCTGTCAAGGAGATTCCATTCTTCCTCCTTCATGTCTTCTGGCTTCTTTCCCGTGAGTGGTACAGATAATCCTCGACTGCATCTTCCAAAAGCCAAAGTCTGCACCATCGAACTTTTCAATTTTCATTTTTCCTTCGTCTGCAGCCATCACTTCGACTCTGATCTGACTTCTCTGTCGGATCGTTTTTGTTAATTTTTGTGAACTACCGTGTTTCAAAACATGTCGGTAGATAATTTTGTAGCGCTGACAAAATTGACACTATTCACGTTTTTCAACGGAATAGTAACACTACACAAAAAAAAATTACAGAATTAACAATCTGGCTCTGATACCAGTTGTTGGAAAAAATACGCTGAAATTTCTATGAAGTCGGATCCAGTGTTTTAAATACCGTACCGGTAAGCATACCGGACGAGCCAATGATACGCGGTTCAACCGGTATTACCGTCTATTTTACCGGATTCAATAAGTGTTAAATTAATTTCTTATTATAATATAAATGATGTACAAAACTAACTTTAACTAATACTAAAATTAATTAACATCTAATAACGATGTAAACATATTAAAATTATGTGTAGAAATTTCAATTTATATAAATAAATTAATAAAAATATATTAAAAAATATATTTTTTTAAAAAAAAGGCATAAACAGGTATTTTGCCGATATTTTGGCCGGTATTTGCCGGTAAAACCAGTATTTTCCGGTATGAAACCGGTATAAGCCAGTACTTTGGCTAAAACGGTATTTAGAGTGTAACCGTACCGGTCGGATCATCGGTATCCGGTATTACCAGCAGTACCGACCGGTACGGTACGGTATTTAAAACATTGGTCGGATCTATAAAAGTGAATAAAAATTGAACACACCAAATTGATAATGGAGTTCGGTCAATAATGCCTACGTCACTGGACTACTGCAGATATTTTATTAGGAGAAAAGAAAAAACACTAAACACTCTCAAACTCACTTACAATTCACAACTCACTCACATTTCACAACTCAAAAATACCACAAAGGCTAGATTATTTTTCTAGCTCACTCCCTCTTTTTCTCTCTCTCGTATTTTGGTTGTTCTTGGTGTGTTTTTGCTTCAAAATTGTGCTCCTATTTATTTATAGCTAAAAATGGTGCAAAGCTGGTGCAGAATTGGTGCAAAATTTCGGCTGCAAATTTAATGCTCAGCCTACAGAATTAATTGCACAGCCTCAATTTTAATGCACAGCCCCCAATGTTGTCAACAAATGTTGCTTTATCACCTACCAGTTCATCTGAAGCCATGTTTCCTTTATATGGGATATTCACTTGATCAGTGCCTCAATGCACGTCAAGCTGTGGCTTGTTGAAGGATTTTTTAAGTCGATAAATGGCTGGCATTAGAAGGGCAGCTGAGGAGTACTTCAAGGATCTCGTCGACAGAAACCATGTAAACCGTTACTTTTCATCTTGCATCATACTTTATACATTGATGTTTTTTTTTTTTTTTTTTTCCGAAAAGATAGAAATTTTATTAGAATTAAAACCACATAATTACAACTAGACAACAGCTAGAATAGCCAAGCAGCCAAACAGCGGAATCTAGGAGGATTGAAGTTAAAAGGGAGAATATTAGAACATACAATAACTAAAAAAGAAACAACAAAATCAAGGTGCAAATTAACTCAGAAACAATTCCTAACAATTACATTATGGCATGAGATCAATGATGTGTACAACAAGCTCATCTGTGAAGAAGAACTTGCTTCAATTGATCTTGCTTTGGAGGATTAGAATATTCGGACTGCGAAAACGTGATGAGTATCTGCATTAGGATAGTAACCAACGCCAAGAAAACCACACAGAACGCAACTTCTCCCCACGAGAAGGGATATGTTTCGAAGAATTTGACCATCGCCAGAAGAAGCAAACACGACCAGCACATCACGACCTAGCCGTCAAGAATAAAATGCATTTGAAGTTTCCATTTGAAAGAAAAAATAAAATAAAAGAATAAGGAAAAAGGAAAAAATGCTAGATGAAAGCTAGTTAAGTTGATTATCCATTTATACCAGTAATGATCTCTTTGGCCGGCCAATGTCGCGCCGTATATCATCCCCAAACGTGTTCGTGTCAAGGTGTCGCTCCAAAAAAGCATCCTGCTTCGTCAAAAAAATCAAATTACTACATTTTGTGTAAAAACAAAACAAAAAACAAAAAAAAGATAAATATGTGCCATCGAATATATTACCTTAGCGACGAACATATCTTTGCACCACTGAGCGATCCCACTGCTCGTTTCTGGTAATTCTTGCATGAGGTGCCGCTCAATATGCACATGTACCTACAACACGAGTTCAGTGACTTTTTAAGAAAACTGAACAAAATGCATGATCAAACATTATTTATATCCATGGCTACAGTGTCATGATCACTTAATTTTTCAAGAAATTCCTTGGCATACCGTAGAAGAACGTCCCCTCAGGATTCTCAATAGAGTCGGCCGAGGTTCATTTTTCGGGACAGCAACTGTAATATTATAAATTACTGGGACAAACGTCCGCAAATGAGTCACGGCTGCAACAAAGCCCTGAAAGCCCCACACAGAACAAACAAATAAGTACACAGAGCTAAAAAATTAGCCTAACTATTGAGAATTCAGTTTTTCTTAAAAAAATAAAAATTAAAAAGACATATTTGTCAAGTTAATAACCTTAGTACGAGGAATCAAAACGTTCCTTGGAATAGGCAAACCAGCAGAGGCTGCATACTGTTGGGCAGCTACAAGCTTCTCTTGCGTAAAACGGGTCCCTTCAACAAAAAGGGCCAACCAGAAAGGCATGGGAAAATCATTCAGTGACTCGAATCCCAACTGCAATATAAGACGACATCAAGAAGACAAAATTAACCGATCAAGAAGACAAAATTAACGGATTAAGAAAGAAAAAAAAAAAAAACATGTGGAATTATTCGTGCACACCTTCATGGTGCTTTCATCTCTGGACCAATTTCTCTCAAGAAATATAAAACCAGCAAACCACATCGACCAACCTATAACCTGTGTGCATAACAGAATGTATTTGGAATGTGAGTTTAATTTGTTAACAGAATGACAGCTCTAATTTTATACGTTTTCCATTAACATATGTTGTTCATGCATATTATTTGTAATATGAAACAAGGATCAAGAAACTCACGGGAAGGTATATCACAGCTTTCTTTATTAATGCTACTGCACTGCCGAGGCAACCTGCACGCTGTCAAAAGTGAGATGAACATTTAGTTTTTTTCCGAAAAATTATCCATCACATGCAAAGGTAAATGAGATGTAAGGAAGTTTTCTTGAGCACAATAAAGAAAAATGTTGACAATATTATAGCAAATGCATTTCTAAAAAAAATGAAACTATTCTATTTCAAAACCAACATGGTACAGATGAATAAAGATATTATGCACGAAACATTAGTGAAACTTCAATATAGTTAAAAAAGTTCATGTTTTTTCTTGCTTTTGCAGAAGAAAAGAGGCGTCTAGCTAACCGTCTAAAGGATTTATATGAACGAGTATGAACCTGAGCTAGGACCCAGCCAACGAGCCAATCAATATCACTTCTATGATTACAAATGAGGAGTGCGTGTTCTTTACCTGAAATTATAACAAACAAAGTCAACACAATGGAAAAGTACTCTGTATTTTGACTTTCGAAAAAAATTTCACGCTTGGATTTATGAACGAGGAGATTAAGGAACTCACCGAGCATCTCAAAAGTTTCTTGATCTGCAAATAGATCGACCTGTCAATCAATCATTGAGATATTACAAGTAATATTTAGAGATTAAGAGAAAAAATTGAACAAATACAATACTTTTTAGAACACCTTAATATTAGCCCACCAGTCGAAAAGCCAAATAAGCTCCAACCATATAAGTTCGGTGAGTTCTTTGTTGACCTTTCTGTAAGCATTTTTAGAAAATGGACGAACAAGGACCAATGAAATTGCCTGAAAACGATTGAAAGGTATAAAATGTTGAATATATACACAATCCATGTCTAAGGAAAGGAATAAAAATTTTCTTATTTGGGCAAAACTTCAAGAATCTGTTGTAGAATTTATGAGAGATTCACTCTCCTATTCCTCATGTCACTAATCATATCAATCACCATTTTTGCGATATAAGAAATTAATCGAATCAACTGTTTTTATTTAGCAATATTTCCATGTTTCATTCAATCACACTTTCAATATTTTTTATTATCATTTTCACTAAAAAATTTTTTGTGATACAACGAAAAGCCAAAGAAAAAAAGATATCCATATTCTTGATCCAAAGATTCCCAATCTGGAAAAGATGAAAAAAAAAGAAATGAAACAGAAATTGATTTTTCGGGCATTTATATACCTGAAGGAGGTTGAGAATGAGGCCTGATAGAAGGAAGAGGAGGCCAATCGGGACAATCACAACTGCCGCTATCGCCATTGTTACAGAGCTCACGTGCACAGGTTATAACTTTACAACAGAGAAATTTGAAATGAAAAGTTGATATTTGACAAACTAAAAAAAAATAAATAAACTGAGTTGTTATTGGTATTATAAATGCTTGACAACTTTTATTCATTAATATGATATGATGTCCAAACGTGAGTTTATTTTTCCTGGAAAAGACATTCTCTCTTTGGCCAGTTGAATCTGAGTTGGCAAGATGACTGTTTGCCCGAACATGGAGAAACACAAAATAATTGGTTACAAAGGGACCAACTGAAAATGCTAATAATAAAGTACTTTTGAAAGTGGGTCTGTGGCAATATTTGCCTAATTTAGTAATCCTAAAGTACTGGGTTATTGTACATTTGGTAACCTTGGAATTAATAGGGGTGATATCAGAAGTTCGAGCTCGACTTGACTCGGCTCTTTTGCTGCAAGCCGTGAATTGTATGCTAATTGTGATCCATGAAAAGTTTTTAAATATGAACTAGAGCTCTTATTGGTTGTCTAGTCTAGAACGGTTGAATTCAGATAGATATGTATGTACGTACTTGTCTTTCAAAGAATGACAAAGAACTACATGAATGGACGATGATAACACACGGCTTGATCAAACTAATGGCACGATCCTCAAACAAATTCGAACAAATAATTCAAATAAATAGTCAAAGTCGAGGCACGTGAAACACGCTTTCCAAAGATAAAATTGCCACTGATTAATACCCATCACTTTTGAAAAATACATCTACAAGATACGACGACTTTTAACTTGTGTGTAGCGGCACTTCAAATATACAAGGTTTCGACGAATTTTTGTTTAAAACTTTGAGGAGATGAAGAATGAATAGTGAACAAGAGATGGACGTGAACTATCTATGTTTTATCTCAATTTATTATCTTCATGTTAAGTTCTCTAGTGTTTGATGAACTTTAAGTCATAGGATATTTATAGATGTCCTTGGACATATATACGAGGTTCAATGTGTCAAAAGACACCTTTCGGGACATGCCCAGTCGTCCAAATTTGAGTTGAAACCTTTTCGGCACAAACAAGTGCGTTTGGATCGCGTGCATTCCGCACCCGCTTTAAGATTCTATGTCTTCCACTTACGAAAAATGAAACCGTAAAATCGGTACTAAACCAATTTTTCTTACAAATTCTTCTTATTTTTCACAAACTATCTTTGTGAAGCTCCTTTAATGGCTAAATCTTGGTTGACCATCAGTTAACTATGGAGAAGTACCAAATTAATGTGATTTACGAACTACATTTAGGATATTTTAATTATTTTGTGATGGGTATTGAATCCAACAATAATAAATTCCTGCTTCTAGAATAACTAAAGTAGTGGTAAGCAGGGTTGTATCCATAGGAATTGGCTAAACAATGTATCAATGCAACTATTCATGAAAGAAATAAAAATTAATAATAATGGGGGTTTTGATGATTGTATCTAACCAAGAAAAATAAAATAAAATAAAATAAAATCTACTAGATACGGAAACAAAACAAGTGATTCAAAATAGAGAAAATATCCAACCAAAGGAAAAAACTCGTAGAAATGGTTCATCGATTCGATCACAGATGCAAAAATGATTCTACTACTCTCGATTAAAATGGCTATGACTATTGGAACGACCTAACAACCTGTCCTTCTTTACTTGTTCGACAATCAGAATACGATCTCTAATTAATTCTCTAATCAACAGACAACCCTAGATACGATCATAGAATTTAATCTATTAACAGCATTGAAATCTAGAAAGACCACCAATTCTATCCAACAAACGCACATGTAGGATCATTTAGACTAGATCATACATCTCCCTAAGCATACAATTGAAAACCCTTAGTAGTCAACTATGCTATTTGCCACAAATATTAGAACAGTCAAACAATTACGAATATAACGTTTTAAATAATGATATGCATTTCAACAATCGATGACCAGTTTGCATCAACCAATCAAAACACAATTGATAATAATCACAAGAGATATATAAATAAAAGAGAATGAGGAAATATATATACAATTAGATCTCACAAATCATGAAGAACCAAGTCTAGATTAATTCTTTGGCTGGAAAAATAAATTAATTCTCCATAAACATGGCAGTCTTCTACCAATTATTCATGAAAAATAAAAGAAAAAAAAAAGAAAACAATGAAGAGGGCGTGCCTACATGGAGAGGAGAGATAGAAGAGATATAGCAGTCTAGTTTTTAATCAAACCAGTCTAATCATCATCCTAATCCTAGCAGAAAATACGTACAAAACTAATAAAGAGATCATCCTCTCTCCAAAATATCCTAATAAAATGAAATAATCCATAAATAAATAAATACTCCATAAAGTTTTATTATTTCTCTTTCCAAGACTACTTCATTCTTCCAACTCTAGTAGGAAATTATCATGCTCACGCCTTTTACTCAAATTCGTCTCTTTTATCATACAATTATTATAAAAAATAATTTAAATCAATAATTAAGCTCATATAAACACGGAAAAAATATAGAAAACATAACAATTAACATGCCAAGAATACAACTTATCAATTTGGGACACCAAAACAAAATAGATGCAAATTTTGAAAAAAAAAAATGTATTTTGTTTTGTACACATACATAGTTAACAAAAAACTAGAAACATTTACAGGTGCAATATAAGTATGCAGAAGTCACTGCTGAACTGAAAGAAGAAACTAGGAGCATGCTAACAATGGCTAAGTGGAAAACAATAAATGAGAAATTAATACTGATCGACATGCTTGAGCGTTTAGGTGTTGGATATCACTTTGATCAAGAGATTGAAGACCAACTTGGACAATTTTTCGCATCATATCATGGAAATATGGAACGTGAAGACGATGATTTGATCATCACTTCACTTCGATTTCATCTACTCAGGCAATACCGGCATTATGTCCCTTTGTGGACCCCACCACCGTTTGATCCTGAAAAACCTCATTGTTGGAAATAATAGATAACAATAGAGAAAGAGACACTCAACAAAACTCAATATTTATTTATTTATTATTTCTCTCAAGAATAATATGTAACACAAGGCTCAAACAAGTTCTTTGAAACTTTATCAAAAAACTCTATTTCCTCCCTCTCTTGGAAATCTTTAGGGAACACAATGGAAATGAGTTTTGGGATTGATCAAGCCTTCTCACTTTTCTTCATAAGATTTCACAAAGAAGAGAAGTATATATAGGTGTTATTTATCATATGTGGTTACAAAATGTAAGAGAGATTACTTAATGTTCACAACTCATCTTCTTGAATGAAGAACCATTAATCTCAAGATGAAACTTATGTTTAATTAATCCAAGATTAATTAAACCAATAAGTTTCAACATTTGTGAAACTCATCTCATAACATGCAATGTAATGAAACTTATCTCACATTCATGCATTGTGTAACTCAACTTATATTTGTGCATGTAACGTATGAGCTTCTTTACACCTTTGCATGTAACCAATAACCAATCTTACTTTTTATTTGAACCAAAATATAACAATCTCCCACTTGGTTAAAATAAAAACCAACATTATAACCACCATAGTGAAAATGCATAAAATAAAGTATCTTTCGATTTGAACTTTACCTTAGTGTAATAATCACAAAGCCTCGTCGAAATCCCAGGTTGCTTGTAGCATTGAACCAGTTATTCCTTGTGACGAAACCGGTGATAACACACACATTTCACTATACGGCGAACACCTATCAATTTTCTCGCTTAGCACTTTTATGGCCATGTGCTCAATCCATTCATGAACTTTCTTAAGAGAAGACTCCAACTCTCATGAGAAGCGGCACCACTTCTAAGTTCACATAGGTGAAATTCGTTCAGCATTCAGTTTACTTAAAATGCTTGTCACACGTAGACTGAATTTCATTAAAAGCTTTATGCTTAATCCTCCAACCGTAACGACCAACATTATATATTTAATCTCAGATGGAACTCACAAATTTTAATGTTGTTGTAATTCACTTATCAACGACTTGTTTTTACCCATTGAACTTAAAACTAATCATTTCTTAGTGTCAAGTTGGGTTGCCATCATTGGTGAATTTATTTAAGGAGTTTTAGTCCCATCCCTCGAGATGTTGTTCTTACTAAATCTCTCGTCAGAGGTTTAGTAAAAGGATCTGCAAGATTCTCACTTGATCTTACAAATGAAATTAATATGATTCCATCTTGAATCAATTGTCTTACAAACTCATGTCTGAGACTAATATGTCTAGACTTCTCATTATATACTCCACTAAATGCACGGGCTAAAGTTGATTGACTATCACAGTGTATTGACACTGTTGATATATTATTTTTAGTAAAAGGGATATCCAACATGAGATCCCGAAGCCACTCTGCTTCTTTTCTTGTTGCAGCAAGAGCTATAAACTCTGCCTCCATAGTTGAATGTGATATACAAATATGTTTCTTTGATCCCCTAGAAACAACTCCTCATCCAACGTAAACACTCAACCCGTGGTTGATATATTATCTCCCACACTCGATATCCAGCTTGCATCTGAATATCCTTCAAGTACAGCGGGAAATTTAGAATATTGGAGGCTTAGTTCTTTGGTATATTTTAAATAGCCAAATACTCGACTAATAGCTTTCCAATGTTCCACGCTTGGATTGCTAGTAAACCTGCTTAGTTTACTAACTGCAAATGAAATGTCAGCCCTAGTACACTGTACAGGATACATTAGACTTCCAATTGCACTTGCATACTCAAGTTGAGCCACCGCTCTACCGTCATTCTTCTCAAGCTTTAAACTTGAATCAAATGGAGTATTAGCATTTTTTATCTTGAGATGATTAAATTTGCTAATTATTTTCTCAATATAGTAGGTTTGGTTTATAGAATAACCCCCACTATGTTTTTTCACTTTAATACCTAAAATGGTATCAACTTCTCCAAGATCTTTCATCTTGAAGATTAATGATAGAAACCTCTTTGTTTCCATTATTCCTCTCATGTCATCACTTAATATTAACATGTCATCAACATATAAACACACTATGACTATATAGTCATCACAAGATTTAGAGTATAAACACTTGTCAGCATTGTTATGTCTAAATCAAATAATAGCATTATGAAATTTTTCATGCCACTGTTTAGGAGCTTGCTTTAAACCATATAATGATTTAACAAGCCTATACACTTTATGTTCATTTCCTGGCAGAACAAAATCTTCTGGTTGTTCCATATAGACCTCCTTATTGAGATCTCCATTCAAGAATGCCGTTGTGACATCCATTTGATGAACAAATAGATTATGAATTGATGCCAAAGCAAACAATATCCTAATCGAAGTTGTTCATGCAACTGGAGCATATGTATCGAAATAATCAATACCTTCTTTTTGTGTAAATCCTTTAGCTACTAATCTAGCTTTAAAGGTTTGAATAGTCTCATCGTTATTGTATTTCTTACGAAACACTCACTTGTATTTCTACCAATTCCCATGTTTGATTAGATACAATAGAATCCATTTCATCATTGATTGACTCTTTCCAAAAAGCGGCATCTCTCGAATCAATGGCTTCTTTGTATGTTTTGGGATCCTCCTCCACTTGAAGTATTATAGGAATTTTCCTAATAATATCTTCTCTATTCCCTCTACTAAATAAAAGGAAATTCTTTGAGAATCAATCTCATCCGATCCCAATAATTTTTCTTTTCTTTGTCTTTGACTTTTTTCTCACTGGCACCAAAGGGTTCTCAACAACCTTCGTTGGTCCATTCTCTTGAGACTCTTCAAAATTAGTAGATTCTTAAGAACTACTCAATAAATTCTCAAAGAATTCTACATCTTTTGATTCAATTATCTAGATTCTAAATCTAATAGCCTATAAGCTTTGTTATTTGTGGCATAGCCAACAAATGCACACTTTATGGCTCTCGAACCCAATTTTCTTTTGTTTAGGTCTGTTTTCTTGCAATATGCAAGACACCCCCACACTTTGAAGTAACCTATATTTGGTTTTCTTCCTTTCCATAACTCATATGGAGATTTTTCAATTTTCCTCATAGGTATTCGATTCATAATATGACACGCAGTCAACAATGCATCACCCACAACTCGAAATTTAATTTAGCATGCAATAACATTGCATTCACCATTTCTAAAAATGTTCGATTCTTCCTCTCTGCTACACCATTATATTGTGGTGTATAGGATGTTGTACATTCATGAATAATGCCATTTTCTTCACAAAACAAATTAAATTCATTTGAGAAATATTCACCACCTCTATCACTTCTCAAAATTTTAATCTTTTTACCAAGTTGATTTTCAACTTCAGCTTTGTAAACTTTAAAGGCATTAAAAGTTTCACTTTTATTTTTTAATAAAAACACATAGGTAAATTTTGAACAATCATCAATGAATGTACCAAAATATCTATTGCCGCCTCTAGTTTTTACACCATTAAGTTCACAAAGATCACTATGTATTAGATCAAGCAAATTCAATGATCTTTCCACATTTTGAAAAGGCTTTTTGATCATTTTAGATTCAACACATATTTCACATTTTTTAAATTCATTCATATCACAATTGATTAAACCACTTTTAATAATTCTTTTTATAGTTCTTAAACCAACATGTGAAAGCATATTATGCCAAAATGACAAAGAATTTGAGTCACACGCATAAACAGAAGTAGATGCCTCTTTATTCAAATTATTTTGAATACACAGTTTAATCATCCCATCAGTAGAATAACCTTTTCCAACAAAATTCTCCGATTTTGTTAAAATTAGCTTACCGGATTCAAACACAACTTTTATACCCGGTTTGCTAAGTAATCACCACTGACAAGATTTCTATTCATATCGGGAACATACAATACATTAATAAGTGTAATCTTTTTTCCCGACGTGAAAACAATCTCAATTGTGCCTTTGCCTAGCACCTTGGATTTTCTTTCATTCCCCATTTGAATCTCTTGATCGCCCTTTGCATCTTCAAAGGTTTTGAAAAGAGATTTGTCATAGGTAACATGAGTGGTGGCACCAGTATCATACATCCATCCTTGAACCTTCCCATGGACAGCACATACATGGCTTAAAGTTGCAACGATCTCATCATCAATTGCATTCATTTCAGCCCCCTTTCGGTCCCTGCAATCTCTTACAAAATGTTCATGTTTTCCACATACATAACAAGAGCATTTCTTGTCCTTGAATTTTTCATGATTTTTCTTTGGACCGAAAGCATTATTGGATTTTTTATTTTTATTTTTATCAACAAAGTGTTTTGGTTTTGAAACCATATTTGCTTTGCTAGTCCCACCATTGGACTCATCAACCATTTTATCTCTTAGTCTCGATTCTTCCTCAATACAAAGATGTTTTTGAATTTTTTCCAAGGAGTAATCTTCTTTATTGTGGAGAATCCTTTTTCGGTACCCCTTCCAACTTGAAGGTAGTTTAGCCACAATTGCACCAACTTGAAAAGTCTCTGGAAGTTCAATTTTTAAAACTCTCAATTTATTCACAAGTATTTGCAACTCCTGAATTTGAGGTGATAAAGGCTTTTCGTCAAAAAATTTGAAATCAAAATATTGGGAAATTAGAAATTTTTTAGTCCTTCTTCTTCGGTTTTATATTTATTTTCTAAAGCCTCCCAAATTTCTCTAGCCGAATTATTCGTGTAGAGATCATATAGCATATCAGACAAGGCATTTAAAATATGACCCCGGCATATTAGCTCGTCTTCCTCTCTTTTCTTCCATGCAGCCACAGTTTCGAGCGTATTGTTTTTATTTGGCTTTGGTAGAGGAGCCAAGGTGGGATCGAGGATGTAAAATATCTTGAGGGCCGTGAGAAGAAATTTCACCTTGTCTTGCCACCTTGTGAAATTCGAACCATCAAACCTATCCAACTTCACAAGGTCTTGGTTCATGATTTTGATTGTCTCCGTCTCCATGCAAATAGAGTTTTTGATTGTTGGAAATAATAGATAACAATAGAGAAAGAGACACTCAACAAAACTCAATATTTATTTATTTATTATTTCTCTCAAGAATAATATGTAACACAAGGCTCAAACAAGTTCTTTGAAACTTTGTCCAAAAACTCTATGTCCTCACTCTCTTGGAAATCTTTAGGGAACACAAATGGAAATGAGTTTTGGGATTGATCAAGCCTTCTCACTTTTCTTCATAAGATTTCACAAAGAAGAGAAGTATATATAGGTGTTATTTATCATGTGTGGTTACAAAATGTAAGAGAGATTACTTAATGTTCACAACTCATCTTCTTGAATGATGAACCATTAATCTCAAGATGAAACTTATGTTTAATTAATCCAAGATTAATTAAACCAATAAGTTTCAACATTTGTGAAACTCATCTCATAACATGCAATGTAATGAAACTTATCTCACATTCATGCATTATGTAACTCAACTTACATTTGTGCATGTAACGTATAAGCTTCTTTACACTTTACATGTAACCAATAACCAATCTTACTTTATATTTTAACCAAAATATAACACTCATTTGGTCTTGCTTCAGGCAATAATAAGTAAGAGAAGCATGGTGTGAATAAGTGTCCAACACAATTAAATGTTCATGTACTATGATGAAATAAAGGTCCTTTTGTATAAGTGTTCTCTTTGAGAAATTATGTACTTTTGTGGCGCAAATCTCCAGTGTTTGGAAATTAGACGACTAATTATATGATATTCAGCTCATCCTTGATTGAATTAGCTAGCTTGAGAGAATATCAATTGCATATGACGATATATATAAATGGTTAAATAATAAAATTGAATGAAATTAAAATATATATATATATATATAAAAAAATACTCTAAAATTCATCGAATGTGGTATAACTGTATAAGATATAAATGTTTGGTGATTAGATATCTCATTTGGTTTATCAAATTTAAAACAAAAAAATACTATATATTCATTCTAATCAAGGTTTTTCCATTAATAATTCCTACTAACACAACGCAGAAAAAGTCAACATCATTATATATTTTCTAAAATAATAAATATATATTACCAGCTATATAATCTAATTCTCAATTATTACTAATTAAAATTTTAGTATTTCATATCATAAACTTTTAATCATTAGTCTTATATCTTTATCTTCTATTCAGGCACGTACAATTTACAAAATATTTCCCTTTTCCCAAACGCAATTTTTTTCCTCTTTCATTTTCTATTTTCTGCATGAGATATAAGTTTTATTTTCAGAAACAGCAACATAAGAGAAGTGGTTTCTCTAACATAAATATGATTGTTTTTGGAGCAAAAATGTAACATTACTTCAAAACAGCATAACTGCAATGGACCTTTCAAACTTAATAAAGGCCAGAAAATGAGAGCCACAACACAAAATCCTTCTCTACTCATAGCCACCCGCTCTAATGGATCTCATCTACAGCCAATATTGCTTCATTTTCTGTGGACTCCATACTTCGAAGCCCTTTTTTGTCATTTCACGCCTTCAAATTTAAAACCTCATAACAAATACTTACTCGTCCTTTTAACATCAAATAAAGTTGGTAAAAATTAAATATTACTTTCTATCGAACAAATAAATAATAAATCAACTCAATCAAATGTTAGCTCAAATGGCTGGATTTCACCATGTGCCCACATTTGGTTCAGCTCAAGATAACTAATTGCCAATGATATAAGTTAGCATGAAGCGCTTAATCAGTTGAAGCCAAAAATATTTGAACAGAAAGGTGATGTGGAGATATGCCAAATCTCTCACGTGTCACAAACGAGCTCCAGCTTGGACTCTTTCAACACCGTATATTCTAAACTCCATTATCACCCTACGATCGGAAATCCAACGGCTCACATTCACTCTCCTTTACCTCCATTAACACTCAATCAGCTCCTCACCCAACTGGACTCTCCTAATTCCACTCTTTCTCTTACAGTTGAACTCCGCCCCTTTACCACCTCCAACCGCCATCAAAACGATGGCGTTTTTGGCCCTCGCCCCCTCCGTTAACCTCCGATTCCGCCCGCTATCCTCCCCAAATCCCCGGCGGCCACCCGCCGCCCCCAAATCCTTCCACTTCACCCCTAGATTCCGATGCCTGGCCAACAACAGCCTCAGAAACTCCGACAACCCACGTGGAGGGAATGCTGCTGCTTTCCTTTCCCTTAGACAAAAACTTCTCTCCGGCGCCTCCCCGAATCGCCGATCGACCACAGCCGCCTCGGCCTCGGCGGCGGCGGCTCCCTCTGCTCCTCAGCCTCAGCCGTGGCAGGGAGCCGCCATGAAGCCCCTCACGGCCTCAATCGCGACGGGGGTCATCCTCTGGTTCGTGCCCGCCCCTGACGGCGTCTCCCGCGTCGCCTGGCAGCTGCTCGCCATCTTCCTGGCCACCATCGTCGGGATCATCACCCAGCCGCTGCCGCTCGGCGCCGTTGCCCTTCTCGGCCTCGGCGCGTGCGTCCTCACCAAAACCCTAACTTTCGCCGCCGCTTTCTCCGCCTTTGGGGACCCGATCCCCTGGCTAATCGCGCTCGCCTTCTTTTTCGCGCGGGGGTTTATCAAAACCGGGCTGGGCAACAGAATCGCCTACCAATTCGTATCCCTCTTCGGGAGCTCGTCCTTGGGATTAGGTTACAGTCTCGTTTTCAGCGAGGCCCTTCTGGCGCCGGCCATCCCTTCAGTCTCCGCCAGAGCCGGCGGAATTTTCCTACCGCTGGTGAAATCCCTCTGTGTTGCCTGTGGTAGTAACGTTGGGGACGGGACAGAAAACAGGCTGGGCTCCTGGCTGATGCTAACTTGCTTCCAAACGTCCGTGATCTCGTCTTCAATGTTCTTGACGGCTATGGCCGCTAATCCCTTGGCGGCTAATTTGACATTGAGCACCATAAATATGCCAATTGGATGGGTGGATTGGGCTAAGGCTGCAGTTGTGCCGGGACTTGTGTCTTTGATCGTGGTCCCGGTTTTGTTGTATCTAATCTATCCGCCTACTGTGAAGAGTAGCCCAGATGCGCCCAAGTTAGCTAGGGAGAAGCTGGAGAAGATGGGCCCTATGTCGAAGGAGGAGATCATCATGTCTGGAACTTTGCTTCTCACGGTAAAGATAAAGACTCTGTTGAATTGATTGAGTAAACTCGTTGTTTCTTGAGCAGCAAAGTAACTTCTTGTTCCTAAAATCATGGAAATGGAGTATTATAGTGTATGTTATTGGTGTGTGATTTGAAATCTTCTAATCCTGATATTATCAGCACAAGCTGTAGTCATATAAATTCTAGACTAAAACTTTGTTCATTAGATACTTCAAGTTATTCTCGCTTTCATAATGTATTGTCAGTTTAATGGATTTTCTTGTTTTGATTTTTTTAATCAGGTGGGGCTCTGGGTTTTCGGGAGTGTCTTGAGTGTGGATGCAGTTACAGCAGCCATTCTTGGATTGTCCGTTCTCCTTATAAGTGGTGTGGTCACATGGAAAGAATGTCTTTCCGAATCTGTTGCTTGGGACACCCTTACTTGGTTTGCTGCACTTATTGCAATGGCTGGGTACCTCAACAAATATGGTCTCATTTCCTGGTTCAGCCAAACAGTCGTAAAGGTATATTCACCTCCAAAAGCATGCAATATTATCAGAACTAGTGTTCGACTCGAATGTAAAGCATATAGATTTTTTCTTAGCATAGTTCCCATATTGAAGTTACTTTCTTTTCTTTTCTTTTATATTTTCCATTTCCAGTTTGTTGGTGGATTGGGCCTCTCTTGGCAGCTATCGTTCGGCATTCTCGTTCTTCTCTACTTCTACTCACACTATTTCTTTGCAAGTGGGGCAGCACACATTGGTGCAATGTTCACGGCATTTTTGTCCGTGGCAAGTGCACTGGGCACTCCATCTTACCTGGCAGCTTGTGTTCTCTCCTTTGTTTCCAATCTAATGGGCGGCATTACTCACTATGGGATTGGGTCAGCCCCGGTTTTTTACGGGGCGGGTTATGTGCCTCTGGCAAAATGGTGGGGCTATGGATTCTTGATCTCTATTGTCAACCTTGTGATCTGGATTGGGGTTGGGGGTGTCTGGTGGAAGGCCATTGGCTTGTGGTAATTGGATGATGTGGCGTGTGAGGCTGGGTTGCACATACAAATTTGCGGNCTTCTTCATTATGGATGTTTTTTGTTTTCTTTTGTTTGCATTTTGGGCAGTTGCACAGAAGAGTTGGCTTATATATATAATTGCATAATTATGTATACACGACTTGTTTGGTTTGTACTTGAAATTTTTGGTGTTGAAACTGCCCATTATCAGCTGTTTTTGTATTTATATGCTTCATTTATGGTGTGTTTGTTTATAAATAAACTCAGTTGATACTCAAAATTTAATTCAACCCCTTTATTTTCAATATTATTAATATAATTAAATAATATCAATCATTCATTCTTATCCATCAACTTTTATTTAATATTCATCTATTCACATAATTTTAACTAATCATCACTTTACATAATCTCTTTCTTAATTTTACATCAAATCAACTTTAATCATTTTTATTTAAATATTATTTTATCATAATCTGAAAATCTTATTAACTAATTATACTATAATTTTTTAAAACTAACTTGATTAACTAAAAAATTCTATTTTAAGTGGATTTATTTGTATTGAAGCACGTCTTTCTCTCAACCCCAATTTTTTACGAGAAAGAGGGTGGAGAGTTTACATGTGTGCTTAAATTGGACTTGGTTTGGGCCTAAAATTGTGGTTACTTTCAACATTCATGAACCAAATTTTTTTGAGAAAATTACACTTAGAACGAACTTCTCACCAAATATTTGCAGATATACTTCCATAAAATTAACAAAATTGGAAAATTTATCATAAATATTTGCACATCTACGGGGTTTATTAATTTACATCTCTTTCTCTTTTCTCTCACTTTTCCTTCCCCCTTTTCTTTTTTCTTCAGATATCTGCCTTCGTTCCAATAGATTATCTCCTTGATTATCTCCCCTAAAATCACCCACTATTTTTGCCAAAATTGTTCGCCACCACCACTAATCTCGATTACCTACTTTTCAAGGATTGGGAAATTGAGGGTTGACAGGCGGGCGGCGCTGCTGCAATCAGCGACCTCTTCCTCGCCGGCAGCGATGGGGAAAGCAATATTGGTGGTGGATGTGGTGGTGGACGCCACTGAATCCGCGGTGGCCGTCGTCTTGCCGGTGCGGTGGGCCTCATCGGGGTCGACCAGAAAAACGGTGTCAACATTTAGATCCAACATCTCAGCCTCTTTCCGGTGCGTGTTTTCGCGAGATTGAAAAGAGAACCGCCGTCTATACGTATTTATATATCTATATGTGTGTGTGCAGCCAGGCAGTTGTCCATTTTAGACCACACGAAGAAGATGAAAACTCTCTATATATGTGTGTGAGTGTGTGAGAGAGTGTAGTGTGTGTATATATCGAAGTCGAATCGAGTTTTTGAGAATGAGATGGTATATATGATGTATATATGTAGTATATTTATACTTTTTTTTTTGTTGTTTGTGTAGTTGCATGTATATATATTGTATATTTTTCGTATATATACTGTTTATATTTTTTCCTATGCACACAGTTTGAATTGAAAATCATAAAGATCGGTATTATCCTAGGTATATATATTGTATGTTTTTCGTATATATACAGTTTATATTCTGTATTTTTTTTGTATATGTTGTGTTCTCCACCATCTCGTTGCTTAGAAAATGATCCTAGGTATATATATATTGTATATTTTTCGTATATATACTGATTATATTCTGTATATTTTATGTATATTTGCTGATCGTGATGGGACGACGTTGCTCGTGATTATTTAGTTCAGATTTTTCTTTTTTTTAATTAATGAAAGAATCCTGTCAGTTAAGGGATTCTTGGATGGCAACTCTTTATTTTTTGTTTGGCAGATATGTTGTAGTTATCCAAATAATTATGTTAACCTAGGCATACTTACAAATAAGTTTTTATTTTTGTATTTATGCAATTATTTTAAAATACTTAACGTAGAAGTGCAAATTACCCAATTTTTTTTATTTTTTTTTTTTATGGACCTGNTTTTTTAATTTTTTTTTTGCCAAACATCAAATTGTATTACCACACCTCGGAAGTACAAATCGGTAATCAACGGATTGCACTTGACAACCTTTACTAGCCTAGACTAGAAAGGAAACCAAACGGGGGAAAATATAATAAGTGTTCTCCTACACGACCCTTCACGGCTAGAGAAACAAACCCCACATAACACTCACACCTATGAGACGAAAATACTCCTACCGAAGGGAGACGAAAATACTCCTACAGAAAGGAGACGACAAAAAACACACTCCGAAAGGGATAGAAGAACCGAAAACACACAAAACACGCACAAAAACACTAACCAAAACAAATATAAAATAAGGCTAAAGAACTCTCCACAACAGCTAGTCCTCTTAGCAACCTCAAGCAAGCTAACACCCACATGACTATCCAATAGGAATCAAATCTCTGTCCAAAATCCTAGAAACTCCGCGACCGGCTATCAAGATTCGAACCAAAGACAAAGCCCTACCCAGGAGGTCACCATCAGACTAGCACTGTTTATCCCATTTTTGTTGCATTTTTCGTTATTATTTTGCCTTTATTTTTCCCCCATTTTAGGTCATTTTGTTGGTTTTTAGTTCGTTTTGTGTTTTGTTTCCTGTTTTTATTTATTTTTGGGTTTTCTATGTTTTCTTTTGTGTTTCTTTGTTTTCTTTGTGTTTTTGTCGTTTTTGGCATGTAGGTCGGAAGCTTTGGTCGGATATGATTTGAAGGAAAAAATAATTTTGCGAGCTTAGTTATGTCGAAGGGTTCGTTGGCAACGCGTAGGAAACAACGGAACTCAATTCCGAGTTCGGACGAGCTCAAACGAGCCCGAAACGTAAAGCCGCGCGCAGCAGCACAGTTTTCTTCATCGCAGCCTCGGGAGGAATCCCGCGGCTGCGGAACACTTCTGGAGCTGAAAGCTCACGGCCTCGGAGCTCTCCGCGGCCGCGGAGGGCACGACCAGATTTTTAAAAGCTCAATTTTGTTTGTTTTTTCGAGTACTTTGCATTATGACTCGTGCCCAGACCTGAAAACTCATCCCTAAACTCATTTTTCTTGAACTTTTCTCTCTAGAACTTGAATCTTACACTTGGATTTCATCTTGATTACTTCTCTATTTTTCAGATTAATCTTGTACTCGGGATTCAACATTTAATTTCTTTATCAATTGTAAGTTTTTCCTTTTCATCTAACCCATGGATATGAATGCTTGGATTGTTGTGAATGTTTTTGTTGAATTCCATATGAGTAGCTAAATTTGATTTGCTAGGGATAGGGGATAATACTTTGGATTCAATTGTGATTGTCGTGCTTGTTGAATCGTTCAATTTATGCGAGTTAACTTGAAACTAGGATTCTTGATCTTCATGCTTGAATGTTGATTATTATTGAAGAGTGACACTTCAATTTACGATTGGTTTACAATTGAATATGATTTATTCTCGTGTGTTGTTTTCAATCCTAATAGACTAGTCGACTAACCACCTTCTAGTCCATTTTAGTCGACTCTTAGAATCGAAAGGGGAGGAGTCGATCGATCTTGGCTCGTATAAAATAGGCTTCTTCGTAACTGTATTGCCTATGTGTCAAACAACTCGTTAATTTGTCGTTCATGTTTATCCTCTTGTTACGAAATGTTATTGAGGATAAATTTTTGAACGAGTAAGTTATTCGAATCTTTTAACCGAACGATCACTCGCCCTTTAATTACTTTCGAACCAAAACGATTATCCCCGACCCCCTAGCTTCCTTATCACTATTGATTGATTGTTTTTGCTTTGATTTCTATATTTGCATTTCTGAACACTTTAGTTGTTAGTGAAAATTCAAACCAATCTTTGAATTAGAATGTTTAGGAATTTAATTTCTTCTTTTTGTGCTTGAATAATCGTGCATTGTAATCCGGCTAACCTTCCTCGAGAGATCGACCCAGGAAACGAATCCTGCGATTCGGTACTAGGTAAAAATAACATAATTTGCTACAGCATGCACCAGCGAAGCTGCACCTAGGTCCCCCAAATAGCCGGCGACAACTCGACGCCGCCACCGCCAGCCGCAGCCCCTGTTGGCCCAACACTACGGCCAAAACAAGGGCAGAGAGGCAGAGTCGCAAAGCAACAAGCAGCGAGCTTCAACCGCCATACGATCAAACGCCCACCGCCGCCGCCACAAGGCCGCCCAACGACCACCACAGACGCATCCGCCATGGCCCTCCTTAGGGAAAGAAGGGGGTATCCACGCGAGGAAGAGAGCGGCGACCCTCGGATCGACGATCGACGCCGGTACCGCCACGGGAATTGGCTCCCACCGGAGGAAGGAGAGGCGCTGTTGTGGAGAGGCGATCTGAAAATTAGGTTTTCACCTACAAGGGGGAAAGGGGATCGGACGATTTTTTAAGAGAAAGAAATAAACTCTTTAACACAAAATATGTTTCAATTCAAGTTTGCATATATTTTGAAATATTGCAGGACTTTAGCTATTGGGTGAGCAAAAGCAATTGTTAGATATAGTTTTGAATAAAAAAAAAATATAAAATTATACTTTAAAATGTCATTACTTTTATTTATATTATTTTTTAAAGTATGATGCTTTAA